GGCACTCATAGTGTTTCCAAGACTGGAAGCCTCCCGTATGACACATCCTTTTAAAATTCCAAAAATCATTAGTTTAACACCTACAAATCCTCCTCCATGACAAGCCTTACACCTGGGGACCGAAACACACAGAGACAAAAACACAGGTTTTTTGCCTCCAGTTACACAGAAAATTCTCTGGGAATTCCTAAGAATTAGACTTAAACAAAGGCCAGCCAAAACTATGCCTGGAAGACATTTTGAACAGGCAAGGATTATAAATAAATACACTACTGTTTTAACATGGACAAGATGTTACATAAAAAAAAAAAAAAAAAAAAAAAAAAAAAAGCACAAAAAAAAACCATGTGAACAAAGGCTAACATAAAACTCACTGTAAGACATGAGTACAACCAGCCGAAGTTAACCCACACACTCAGTCTCACCTACAGAAAGGGCAGGCTGGAAGGAAGCACACTAATTCCAACAGCGGCTGTGTCAGGTAAGGCTGAGACCGGTGAGGTCACAGCTGTTTCTGACTTTCATTTATTCTACATCTTTAATGAAACAAACAAGTGAACATACTTACTACTTACAGAATGAATAGTTGCCACTTCACTTAATTATCCTAACATTGTATCAAGAAAACTAGGTGTGGGGAACCAGCAGTTAGCGTGCGTAATGGCTATGTCGCTGGACTCCCACGTAGTCGACCGCGGTTCGCGTCTCGGACCCGGTGGCTTAAATCTCACGCCGGGCGCGTGTGCGTGCATGCCCAGGATCCCGAGAGGAGAATGGAGGAGAAGGGATTGCGGCGTGACCATCCCCCCTGGGGGGTGATTTCTCGCTTTCTGTCTCTATGTCTCTGTCTGTCTGGCGAGCGCACGCGCCCTATAGCGAAAACCTCTCCAAAAAAAAAAAAAAAAAAAAAAGAAAACTAGGTGTGGATCCAGCATCTGATTCATAGGTGATATTCATCAGAGAACGGTATGGGGCCGCACAGCAGAAAATTACAGGATCGGAGGAATCTGAGGCCCTGGGTTGAATCTTTTTCACTTTTTAACATAATTATTTAATATTAGTTATTATCATTATTATTTTAATTTTGCTAAAGAGTGTGTTCACTCACCAAAGAGAAAGTAAGCCACCATATCCAGGACTCAAACCATGGTCAGTCACGTGAGAGTCCAGTGCCTCAACCACCATACCCAACCTGCTGGCCCCCTGGGTTGAATCTTGACTCTGAGTGACCCTGGACTCTGATTTCCATACTGTGTCAAATGAATAAGGTTAGACTAGAATAGTGATTACTCATTCTTAGTGTTACTGACTCTTCTTCCTTTATAGCCTCTCTCCCCTGAAAACGTAACAAGATACACAGAGCTTTTAGAAATATAAAACATGACAAAACACAGAGCTTTAAGAAATAATTCCATAGAGGTTTCCAGTGGCAGAGTCTGGGAAAGGGTCGGCAGGCGCGATGTCTGGCCGCGAAGGTGGCAAGAAGAAGCCCCTGAAACAGCCCAAGAAGCAGGCCAAGGAGATGGACGAGGAGGATAAGGCTTTCAGGCAGAAGCAAAAAGAGGAGTAGAAAAAGCTCGAGGAGTTAAAAGCGAAGGTGGCCGGGGAAAGGCCCCCTGGCCTCAGGTGGAATTAAGAAATCTGGCAAGAAGTAAGGTGCTCCTTGTGTCTGGACCATGGCGACCGCCCTCGATTCTTTTCCTATTTAAACATCTGGATTCCCCACCATAGCAGCTACAGCTAGAATGAAGTGTTGCCTTAGAGTGTGTTGTACATTTAAGAATACACTTTTGTTTAAAAAAAAAAAAAAGAAATAATTCCATAGAAACCAACAGTTGGTGTAAAAGCTATGTCGCTGGACTTCCGTGTAGTCGACCGTGGTTTGAGTCCTGGACCCCATGGCTTAAACTCATGCTGGGCGCATGTGCGTGCATGCCCAAGATCCAAGAGGAGCGGGGAAGAGAGAGGATTGTGACATGGCCATCGCCCCTGGGGGGTGATTTCTCACTTTCTGTCTCTCTGTCTCTCTCTGTCTTTCTGGCGAGCGCATGCGCACTGTAGCAAAAACCTCTCAAAAAAAAAAACAAAACAAGAATTCCGTAATGGACCAGCCCCATAGCCTGGAGGTTAAGGGAGTCAGATCCAACATGGCTGAATGCTGTCTGAATCCTGGCCCCAGGAGCCGGAAACACACGCTGGGCACAAATGCATTCATGCCCCAAGTCCTGAAAGGACAGAGAAAAGATGAGACTATGGTGTACCTGCACTCCGCTGACTCTTCCTCTCTCTCTGGGGAGCACATGTGCCCTCTGGCAGTCAAAGGAAAAAGAGGACCATATGGTGGCATGATGGCTGAAGTGACAGGATCCCACATGGCTGAATATATCATCTGAATCCTGGACCAGGGCCCTGAAAAAAACAGCACACACACACAGCAGGGGTGTGGAAGAGGAGGGACTGTGTTGTGGCCATTCCCACCGAGGGCTGCTTTCTCACTCACTGTGTCTCTGATGAGCAAATGCAAACTTTCTTTTTTTAAAGAATTGCTTTACTTAATTACATTTATTATTCTTTTTTAATTTGGCCAGAGACAGAGAGAAAGGGAAAGTGAGAAAGCAAGCCACCAGCACATGGTCATGTGGGAATCCAGCACCTTTAACCACCATACCACCTGTAAGTTCCCACAAGCATTTTTTTAAAAGAAGAAAGAATTCCAGGAAATGTACAGATTCTCTAGAAGCTATGGAGCATGTTAGGAACACTGGTGAGGTGACCAGCAGATGACATCATGTTTACGTTGCTGGATTCCCACACTGAGTCCCGGACCTGGTGGCTTGAAAATCATGCCAGGTGCACGTGTGTGCATGCCCAAAATCCTGAGAGGAGAGAGGAGAAGGGACTGCAGTGTGGCCATCCTCCCTGGGGGGTGACTTCTTATTTTCTGTCTGTCTCTCCGGTGAGTACATGCGCCCTACAGCAAAAATCTCTCAAAAAAACCAAAAACACTGGTTAGCATGCTCTCTTCTCTGGCTCCAGCTCCAAGTCACTGAAGGGCGTATTTTTATTTCTTGTAACTTTGTGGAGGGCTTGATCTAGATGCCACCACGATGTGCCAAGATCATCAGCTGTCTGTCCTGCCCAATACCTGCCTTTCAAAAGCACGGTTTAACCACTCTGTCCAGTCTTCTTGGTAGAGGGCACAGAACTCTGGCACCACTCCAGAAATATCGGTCTAAATAGAACCCTCAGCCACTGATGTAAAGTTAAGCTCTGAAAATCAAAGACAGCAAATGAGACAGCCAGAGAACAAAAGAACCCTCCCTTTTCCAGAGGTATGTCTGCTAAACCCTGGTAGTCCAGGCAGAAATATATTCTGAAGACATGGTTACCCTGGCGTGAGACTCCTCCAATGCTGGCAGATAACCATGGATCACAAGGGAAGCCACAAAAGCAGTATTTGGTCAGCAACTGACTCTCCTAAGCTACCTGTCCGCAAATTTCTTAAATTTTTCCCTTCTCCTCCATTCTCCTCTTGGGATCTTGGGCACGCACGCACAAGCGCCCGGCGTGAGTTTAAGCCACCGGGACCCAAACTGCGGTCGACTACATGGAAGTCCAGTGACATAGCTATTACGCTAACTGCTGGTCCCTAAATTATCTATTTAATTTTGTTCATTCATTCATTTTACTTTGACCAGAGAGAAACAGGGAAAGTGAGAAAGCAAACTGCCAGGACCAGGACTCTAACCATAGCTGGCCATATGGGAGTGTCCAGCACCTCAATCACCACATCACCTGCTGGTTCCCCCCACTGAATATTCTTTTTCTTTTTTTTAGAGAGATTTTTATCATAGGGTACATGTACTCACTGTAGAGAGAGACAGAGACAGGAGATAGAAAGTGGTAAATCACTTCCCCAGGGGGATGGCCACACTGTGATCCATTTTCCTCCCAGGATTTTGGGTACCCATGCCATGCACCCAGCTTGAGTTTTAAGCCGCTAAGTCCAGGACTTGAACTATGCCAGCCACGTGGGAGTTCAGCGCCTTAATCACTACATTACCTGTTGGTGCCAATTCTTAATATGCTTATGTTAAAAACAACAGGCTCAGGGACCAGCAGATGGCATAATGGTTATGTTGTTGGACTTCCACAGTTCGAGTCCTGGATCCAGTGGCTTAAAACTCACATGGGGTACATGTGCACGCATGGCCAAGATCCCGAGAGGAGAATAGAGAAGAGATTGTGGTGTGGCCATCCCCCCTGGAGGGTGATTTCTTGCTTTCTGTCTCCCTGGCGAGCACAGGCACCCTATAGCAAGAATCTCAAGGAAAAAAAAAAAAAAAAAAAAAAGGCAAAGCACAACAGGCTCCACTTCAAGTGCTGAAACAAAAGCCATACAGTAGCACAAGTGTGACAAACAGTCCTCAGCATGTTGGTGCTAGGGGGTGGGTGTGTTCAGTTCTGTCTCAGTCACACCTAAGAATTTTGCTTACCTAATCTGGCTTCTGAAACAAGCACATGGAAACAGCCATGAATCAGGAACGTGCCTTTTCCCAGGTGTTCCCCAGATCAGTCCCTCTTCCTGGCAGCACTGAAGTTTCTCTCCCTGACTCTCGCCCCTAGAGTGGGCCAGTTCCTTTCTCAGAACGGAAACAGGGTTAATCCGTCACATGGACTAGGGCAAGCACATTCAGTCGCAATGTGCCTATCTGCCCTGGTGTCCTACCTCCGCCAGGAGGATGACAGCAACCCTTCCTCAAGAAGCAACCTTGGCAGGCAAGAGAGCATGATGCCCCAGGCAGTGCAGACCAGAACAGGCTCCAAAATCCATCCTTTGGGCCTCAGAACCAGATGAAAGCTTAGACGACCAGCTCAGATCAGCTTTCAATCCCTCAGGCATTTGCCGATATCTTTTGTTGTTGCTGATAACTGAAATTCTTCCTCCTGAATTATATTACAACCCACTGAAACTTGAAGGAAAAAGAAAAAGAAGGGAGCACATTTTAAAATGAATTAATTGGTTTCTGTATCTTAGGGTAATTCCACGTAATACTACAACAGACCAACTGGCCACCCACCGGTGCTCCAAATCAGGCTGCTTTAGCCTTACAGCAGTTACCTGCCACACGCCTGGAGCTAACTAGCAACAAGTCGGAAAATCTGGTTACGTATATAGGTACAAAGCTGGTTCATCAAATCCCTGTTTTGGCCCTCAACCCAGTGCATTTCAACCAAAGCATCCTCCTCCTCCTTCTTAACGTTTATCAAACACTTAAATAGGTATTGTCCAGCCACTCCTTGGAGACACTTCTCCTTCTCAGCCACGGGGCTGCCCAACTGCTCAGAAGCCTCCATCCCTCCCTTTTCCTCACTCCTTTCATCCTCCATGGGTTCTGGGTTTTCTTCCTGGGCAAGAAGCTCCTGGTTTGGGCAATGGCTCTCCATAGTGGCAGACTCGCCTTCCTGTAGAGCGGTCCCACCGACGGCACTCTCCTGGGGGCCCTTTGGCAAGTCTTGGCTGTTGTCAGACTCTTTGGAAGTGGCCTTTTTCTCTTCCAAGGCTTGGATGACATCCTCGGGAGCACGAGGAACTTCTCTCAGTTGTCTCACTCTCTCTCTTCTCTTCCTCCTTAAATGAATCCAGGAGTTTTCTATAGCTGTTAGGAAAAGACTGACTTCCTCTTTTCCACAGGGAACTCGTTTATGCTGGACCTATTTGGAAGGAAAACAGAATTTTATAGAAAACTACTTTTCTCATCCCTCCACTCTCCCCTAAAAAAAGAAAGAACAAGAGATAATTATGAATACTCTGTCAATATGCTTAACCAGGTACCTTCAAATCGGTGAGAATTTTTTCAATCCACGTTGTCACAACTACTATGCCTTCTGCTGCCTCAGAGCCCAAAGATGATGCTTTGAGGGATAACTCTTTCATCACAGACTCCAAGACTACAAATGTAATGGGTTTCCTTGGCTTTTCTAATTTTCTTCGCTTACTTGGTGGTGACTGAAAGAAAAAAGAAGGCATGGAAAAGAGAAGAAAGTTATCCAAATAATTAAATCTCATGCACTCTAATGGACTTAGCCTGGGCAACTTCCATGACTTCTGCTACCAATCACAGAGCACTAAAACCACAAAGGCCTTGGCACGTGTTATTGCTAATACTGAAAACAATCCTACGAGATAGTCTCACCACGTTCCCATTTTACAAAAGGGAAAACTAAGATACAGAGGCGAGGTAATCACAGCGCAAGGTCACATAGCTAACAACTGCAGAGTGAGGAGAGAACCTAAAATCCAAGTTCTTTCCTATTGTACTATGCTACCTCTGTTCTGGTTCGCAGTCTGTAACTCCTCCAGCTGCCAAATGTCCTTAACCTACCTGCTGTGCCCAAAGTGGGCCTGCACGGTGACTTACTTCATGGCAACCGAAGGACTCTGGGGGCGCCGTGCTCTTTTCTATAGGGAACTGTAGAGTACCACCTTGTAGGTGGAGTTGCTAAAGCTTGAACTAAAAGCAGCCAGTGAGCCACAGCCTGTGAGATCACATGCTAGGAATGACCCAGGCCGTGAAGATCACAGGGTGGAAGAGGACTGCCGCATCTCGGCTGATGTTAGCACCGGGCCTGGGGTTAGGTGAACACTGCCTCTTAGACGGGGAGAGGATACCAGTACTGATGAGAACACTGGATGTGAAACTTGGTCCATGAAAGTCAAGACTGTCATATAACATTCTATCACAAGCTTGCAAGGTGAATTACACTCTACCCACTAGAGGGACTCAAGTTCCATTTTAAAAACCAAATGATATCACTGTATTTAAAATTGGTTTCTTTAAAGTAAGAACTTTCTAAATAAGGTTTTTTGAAAAAAGTAACTCTGAGCTAAAACCATATATATTATGGACTTATTTATTTACTTATAAGGAGGTTTTTGCCTTAGGGTGTGTGTGCTCGCTGGAGGGAGAGAGAGACAGAGATAGTGAAAGGGAAAGTGAAAAAACACAACCCAAGGGTGATGGCCATGCTGTAATTCCCTCTCCTCCCTCAATCTCGGGCACACATGCCTGGCAAGATTTTTAAGCAACCAGATCTGGAACTTGAACTATGGTCAGCCATGGAGTCCAGCAACTGCTAAGCCATCTGCTGGCTCTGTGTTATATACACATTTAAAAGACAGATTTGGGGCTAGCAGATGGCTTGGTGGTTAAGGTGCTGGACTCCCACGTGGCTGTCCAGTTCGAGTCCCAAACCTGGTGACTTGCTTGTCATTTTCCCTCTCTCTCTTTCTCTCTCTCCCTCTGGTCAGCATCCACGCCCTACAGGAAATAAATAATAATAATAATAATAATAAATAAATAAATAAATAAATAAATAAATAAAAGACACTTGAACATGTTCACAAAATTTATCCAAATTTAAAAATTAAGAAAATTCTACAATTGAGGCAAAACTTAACAGGTTAGAGATAGAAAGGGAAAAGGCTCAATGAAAGGATCTTATTTTGCCCTGTCCGGTTTTAAGATCCTTCTCTGCACAAAGGAGCTGAGAACTGCAGCTCCACCAGGTGATACTGACAGAGCACGTGTGCACAGACACTGCCAGTTCCAGTCATGGGGTGAGACCTAACAACCAGCCAGCAGCCCTATACTCCATCTGTTTGAGGGGGCTTCAAAAAGCTCATCAAACATACATACTATGAAAAAATTAGGCATAATTTTTTTTTTTTTCCACTCAAGTAACCTTGCATTTCAATTCTATTTTTCGATGAGTTTTTGAAGTCCTCTTGCTTTGGGCTGGCAGGTGGCATGGATGGGAAGCTGGACTCTCACATGGCCAACTAAGATTTGAGTCCCAGACCTAATGGCTTGCTTTCTCACTCTCCCTTCTCTTGTCAAATTGAAGAATAATTATAAACAAATAAAATTAAATATATATTTTTAAAAAGTCCCCTTGTAGACAAAATAGTTTAGAGTATGCTAGGATACCATTTTTTCCTTTTAAATTTGTCATTAAGGACACACACTTGTGAGGGGCAGGCAGGGAGAAAAGGAAAAGGAAAGTGAGAAAGCACCTCCATGGGAAATGGTCATGTCACAAACTACTCTCCTCCATCTCGCCTGCCTTTTTTGGATTTTGGATAAGCATGAACCTGCACCTAATATGTTGTTTAAGCCGCCAGGCCTGGGGCTTGAACTGTGGGGTCAGCCATGTAGGATCCAGGTCCTTTTTTTGGGGGGGGGAGGGGGAAGAGGTTTTTGCTATATAGGGCGCATGTGCTCGCCAGAAAGAGAGAGACGGAGAGACAGAAAGCGAGAAATCACCCCCCAGGGGGGATGGCCACGCCGCAATCCCTTCTCCTCCATTCTCTCAGAATCTTGGGCATGCACGTACATGCACCCAGCGTGAGTTTAAGCCACCAGGTTCAGGACTCAAACCGTGATCAACTACATGGGAGTCCAGCGATACAGCCATTACACGACTGCTGGTCCTGATCTAGGTCCTTAACCACAAGACCACAGGTTGGCCCAGTATTAGGTAATTTTATGCCCTACCCATTGAAATGATCTTATTTTGCTAGAGAGTGCGACACTCAAACTGTCACAATCTAGCAGGCAAGGTATACAGACATAATTCAACACCTGTCTGCTCCAAAATAAGTAATTTAAGTAGCTAACTTATTTTTTATTTGTTTAAACATGACTTTTTTTAAAAAAAAAATAATTATTTTATTTGACTTTATTTATTTTTAATTTGACAAGAGAAGGAGTGTGAGAGTTAGAAAGCAAGCCACCAGGTCTGGGATTTGAATCGTGGTTGGCCATGTGGGAGTCCAGTGCCCTTAAGCACCATGCCACCCGCCAGTCCCCTAATCTATTTTTTTAAAGTTTGTTTCTGCCTTCCATGAGTGATAGAGACAGAGAAAGACCTGACAGCATGCCCAAGAAGGTCCTAACGCCACAATCCACCTCACACTATGGCCATCCCTGAACCATGGGCACACATGGGACCAGCATACTCAGGGAGGGCCCCAGAAGCTAGGAGGGTTCCCATGCGAGTCAGCCTCAAAAAGCACAGAATCAAAAGGTTAATTTATAACTGATTTCAGATTAAAGGATGTACTACTGAAATTACAATGGGAAAGAAGTGTGGTGAGGAGTTGTAGATCCCATAGGGGATACAGGTTTTATCTTTCAAACTGCAAGGATCTGACAAGGGATAATCAAGAGGGGAGATGCTTTAAGTATTACATGGTTGTATCTTTATAAAATGTGTGTGTGTGTGTGTGTTTTTCTCTCCATTTAAGGTTTTTGCCATAGAGCATGTGTGCTTGCCCAAGAGAGACAGTGAGAGGGAAAGTGAGAAGTCACCCTCCAGAGGGGATGGCCACACAGTAATCCCTTCTCCTCCATTCTCCTGCTAGGATTTTGGGCACACACACATATATGCCTGTATGATTTTCAAGCCACCAAGTTCAGTGCTTAAAATTGAAGCCATAAATCAGGCACAAAACAGTTCTTAAATTTTAAGATATACTTTACCTAGAACTGTCCACAAATTTCTTACGTTTTCCCTTCAGTTTTCCAAATCTCAGTAGTATCATCAGTCAAGACACTTGCAAATGAGGTGTAAGTTGACAGATGTCAGTGCAGTGTCTGCTCCACTGCCAAAGCTCTCCTGTTCACTGTAACTACATGTCCAAACTCCCAGTGAAGCCACAGGCTACATGAAATCACTAAGCTCTCCCTAGAATCAGTAGAAAGAAGAGAGCAATTTGCTAGAGAGCTATGAAACACAAAGTCACAGCCACCTTGTTTGAGCAAAAGCGGTATCTAGAATAGGCCCATAGAGAAAGGTGTACCCTTAAGTCATGGCATTGGGCTCTCCACCGTTCTGCCACCCTCCAAATGTCTACTGCCCCAAGTCCTCCAGAAACCAGCTACCTACGAGCTGTTAATCAGCACAGGCCACTGACACAGAAAAACAGTTCCTAGTGGCCAATGCTGACACTTGGCAGGGGCAGAGACAGGACAGGAGGCAATCTCACGAGTGCTATCGGATCTGCTGTAATGAAGTTGATTAAGTATTTTGTGGTGTAGCTTCCTTATTAGTAGCCTAGTGGACATTTCTTATCTTTATCTGACAGGTCACTGTTGCAAATGTCCTGAAATCAATCACAGGATAAATGTAAAACTGCAAAAAGCTTAAAAAGGAGAAGAAAACTTTTCATAGAATCATATCTATCTACGAAGAGGTGGCTATAACTTTGTATGTGTATTTCCCTAACGTTAACAATAACTCATGGGAAAGTAAGAGATTAGGGTGAAAGAGACAAAAAGAAAGAAATTAGACTTCTAATTATATCTTCTCAAAAAATAATTGATTTTGAAACCATATAAATATCTTTCAAAATCATAAAAGGAAACTAAATAACAGGACCAGCCATGGTAGCACATGCTAGATACTGTTTTTCAGTAGTCTGAGGCCACATGGGAGGCCCAGGTTCAATTCCTGGCCTGCCCTCAAAAGCTGGGGGTATGGAACAAGTGCACTTGGGAGGCTAAGGCAGGAAAATCATGACATAGCAAGACTCTGGCTAAAACAAACAAAATATGGAACCAGCAGATGGCGTAATGATTACGTTACTGGATTCCCATGTAGTTGACCATGGTTCACGTCCTGTGGCAGCTAAAACTCACACCAGGTGTGTGTGTGTGTGTGTGTGTGTGTGTGTGTGTGTGCCCAAGATCCTGAGAGAATGTAGTAGAAGGGACTGCGGTGTGGCCACCTCTCTGGGAGGCGATTTCTCACCTTTTGTCTATCTTGCTGTTTCTGGTGAGCGCACATGCGCTAAGCGAAAAACACTAAAAAAAACCCCCCCAAAACCAAAACCAAAAAAAAAAAAAAAAAAAAACCCATAATACACACAAAAATGTGTGTGCTAAACAACAGAAAAGGGACTTCCTAATAACGTGAAATAAAATGAAACTAATGAACCTGTGTAAT